TATTTTCAGGCTCCACTTAAGAATGTCTGGACAGACTATATTTACTGAGGGCATTAATGTCTGGACAGACAAGACATCCCACCTTAATGTCTGGACAGACAAGACATCCCACCTTAATGTCTGGACAGACAAGACATCCCACGTTAATGTCTGGACAGACAAGACATCCCACGTTAATGTCTGGAGAGACAATTGAGCTGGAGGGTTGAAAATTTCGTGACGGGCAGCATTCTGGCCCAAGCACAGCACTGAAGCTAGCTTTGAAGCACGGTGCCATGGGGCCTGGGACGATCTCCGGCAAGGGCAAGCAAGACCCGTTGCTTGGTACGAACGCCCCCGATCGCCGAGGGAGAGATGTCCCCTCGGCGATCGGGGGCAAGGGCTTCAGTGACCGCCGCGACGTGCAGCAGGGAACCATGAGTGCCCTTTGGCGCGAGTGACGTGGCTTAATTTTTATAGACATTTCAATGTCTGGACAGACATGGTGTTTGAACAAAAGTTTGCAAGATATGCAGTTCAATGTCTGGACAGACACCCTATATATGTTTAGTGACTGGACAGTCATGATCGAGGGATGATCCTTTAATGACTGGACATGAGAGATTGTTTATATTGACTGGACAGTCATGAAAGATGAGTTTCCATCCAAGGAACCTCCGTGCCGTTTGGGGCCGCTTGCATCCAGAGGTGCCTTTTGGGCAATGGATGCAGTGCCTGGTGGACTTCACGGCCAAGGAGTCGAAGCTGAACCCAGGTACGGGAGAGTCAGCCCGGAGCTTCTTCACACGAGTGTACCGGAAACTTGGAAGTTCTTAACTTGACCCACATATGAAAAGATAAGTGGTAAAATATGCATTGATAATGTCTGGACAGACATGCAAGAAATGTACGTGTGAACTAAGGGAGTCTCCTTTTGAGACATACGAGAAGATGATGAACTATCTGCTGGAGGCCATGGCCGAGAGGGACCGCCAAGCAGAGGCCAGTGAGCTGCCCTGGTGGCGAGAGGTTCAGGCCGGATCAGAAGTGCAGTAGTTGCCGTGTTTAATGACTGGACAGTCATGCTTGACATGTAATGACTGGACAGTCATGCTTGACATGTACATGAGAAAAGAAGCCACTGAAGCTTGACAGGAAAACATGGGAGCTGGGGCCAGTGGAAGTGGTGGTGGGTATGGTGGTGGACAGGACCAGCCCTGCACCAAGAAAAGGTTCATAGGATCCAGAAACATTTGATTTAATTGCAGGACCAAGGCCCCCAGCAGAACGACGCCCAGAACCAGCCCCAGCAGAACCAGCCCCAGCAGAACGACCCCGACAACCAGAGCCAGCAGCAGAACGACACCCAGAACGATGCTGCAGAGCTCGCACTGATTAATTTTTTTGACCATTTTGATTAAAGCGATGGGGCTAAAGATGCACTTGAGGCTGCATGGTGGCAGCCCAGCATGCCGGGGTGGCAGCAGTGGCAGACGGCCTGGTGGCAGGCCCGGTGCAAATATTTCTGAAGGTCTGGACAGACCATGGGCATGAGTTGATGCCAGGACTGGTCCGGGCACTCGTGGGACTCGTGGCCAAGCCAGGCCCGGCATGTAAGTGCATATCTCCATATATAATGTGTTGCACGCTGTGGGATATTTTCGGTGCACCCCGACAGGACCCGACCAGTGGCTGGGGCACACCGTCAACCCAGCAGGGCCAGGAGATATTGCATGCTTGTGTCTGTGTTTTTTGGTGACTGAAGTAAAACATTATTTGATGAGGATGCCCCCGACCCGTGGAGTGGACAGCAAGCTTGGCAGGCTGTGGCCGACACAGAGTGCATGTATATATTTTGGGTTTCGCTTTTGAATTCCCTGAGGCCGACAATGGCACCGGAGGTGGAAGCTGGCCCAATGCCCCGACAGGAACTGGAGCTGCAGGAGATACGGGTGGGAGACAGAGAGAGGGAGAGATAGAGAGAGGGAGAGATAGAGAGATACAGAGAGAGAGATAGAGATACAGAGATGGATACACTTGAAAGGACAGATGGACGATGGCCAGCAGGCTGGAGATGCAGCTGGTGGAGATGGAGCTGCCCCGGGTGCACCGGTGTCTGGACAGACATTAAAATTAATGCCTGGACAGGCATGGTTTAATGCCTGGACAGGCATGCATGGTTTAATGCCTGGACAGGCAAGATGATCCCATCCAGACCTAGGCCCAGGATCCAGATTATGTTGGTAACCTGAGTGAGAGCTTTTTCGGTAACCACCGAAAGTTGTTTAAAGTGTGTGGCGACTGCCGCCACATGAGTTTCGTTTGCCACTCGTCCCCTCTTCGAAGCAAGGGGTGCCAGGGTTGCATGCGAAAGGGCTGTCACGATGGGTTTCGGGGCCTGAAAAAGTGTGTAGACTTGCTTCGGAACCTGGCCGAGAACCACGATGTAAGACCCGACGCTAGCGATCTTCTTGACGACTGAGGGTCGCAGATGAGAGCCCGGACTCCAGAGAATCTTCCAGATCGCCTGCGACCGCCGTGTGAAAAATCCTTTGAGAGCTTAAGTGACTTTGAATAAGACCTTTGAGAGAAGTGAATTTGAATAAGACCTTTGAGAGATAAGTGTGTGTGAACTTAATGTCTGGACAGACATGAATTTGAATAAGACCTTTGAGAGATAAGTGTGGGAACTCAATGTCTGGACAGACATTCTGAAACAGGCCTTTGGATTCGAGAGCTCAGGTGTGGGAACTTAATGTCTGGACAGAAATTACATTGATCGATGGACGAAACCTGTTGGTTTCATTGCACGTTAATGTCTGGACAGACAAGTTGTGCTTAAGTGGAGCCTGAACATATGCACAAAATCAATATATAACACAATAGACATAGAGATGTCATAAAACCACAAGACCGAAACATCATAAATATAATGTATATATATATACATTATATCGTGAAAATAGACAGACAAGTAAAAGCTTAAAACCTCGAAGCTTAGTCCTTAAAACCTGGAGGGTTTAGGGTTTAGGATTTAGTATTTAGGGTTTAAGCTTTAGGGTTTAGGGTTTAGGGTTTAGGGTTTAAGGTTTAGGGTTTAGGGTTTAGGGTTTAGGGTTTAGGGTTTAGAGTTTAGGGTTTAGGGTTTAGGGTTTAGAGATTAGGGTTTAGAGTTTAGGGTTTAGGGTTTAGAGTTTAGGGTTTAGGGTTTAGGCTTTAGGTTTTTGACGCCAAACCTTAAAAGGTTTGACGCCAAACCCTAAACCCTAGAATGTTTTTCTGTGGAAACCTACCACAAATCATGTGCTGTCATGTGTCTTTCTGTGGAAACCTACCAAACGTCATGTGCTGTCATGTGTCTTTCTGTGGAAACCTACCAAACGTCATGTGCTGTCATGTGTCTTTCTGTGGAAACCTACCAAACGTCATATGCTGTCATGTGTCTTTCTGTGAAAGAAAGCAAAGCACACGTCATGTGACGATCTGTGCCAGTCACAGAATGTCATGTGACACAAGAACTAGATCACATGACATTCTGTGACGACGCCCAAATCGTCACATGACAAACTGTGGCATCGAAAAACGTCATGTGACACATTGTGGCACACCAAACAAGACACATGACATACTGTGACCCAAAAAACACGTCACAGTATGTCATGTGACAGAAACCCGCACATCACATGACAAGCTGTGACAACAACTGCACGTCATGTGTCTTTCTGTGGAAACCCGACACAAATCATGTGACGTCATGTGTCTTCAAAAAAAGAGCCAAAAGAAAACATGTGACGTCATGTGTCTTTCTGTGAAAAAGCAGAAAACGTCACATGTTGTCATGTGTCTTTCTGTGAAAAAGCAGAAAACGTCACATGTTGTCATGTGTCTTTCTGTGAAAAAGCAGAAAACGTCACATGTTGTCATGTGTCTTTCTGTGGAAAACAAGAAAAAAAGCATTTAGGGTTTAAGCTTTAGGGTTTAGGGTTTAGGGTTTAGGGTTTAAGGTTTAGGGTTTAGGGTTTATGGATTAGGGTTTAGGGCTTAGGGTTTAGGGTTCTGAGTTTAGGGTTTAAGATTTAGGGTTTGGGGTTTAGGGTTTAAGACACAACCCCCCCCCCCCCCCCCTCTCCCCCCTTATTGAGTATCGCCTGTCCAGAGAGGCTTCGTCCCCATATAGTTGTGTCTGTCCAGACACACCCACCCCCCCCTCCCCCCTCCCTCCTGCCGTATTAACGCCCTGATCTCGTCCAGAAAAGGCATCATACTTGTCTGTCCAGACACGACCCGCTCCCCCCCCCCCCTCCCCCAACTTGTCTGTCCAGACAAGACATGGTGTTTTGTCTGTCCAGACAGGACACCGCCGAAAAACAACTTTCCCTTGTCTGTCCAGACATGTTCTCCTCTGGTGTCTTGTCCAAACAAGACACCACCGAAAAACAACTTTCCCTTGTCTGTCCAGACATATTATCCTCTGGTGTCTCGTCTGTCCAAACAAGACCCCGCCGAAAACAAAATTCTCCCTTGTCTGTCCAGACATGTTCTCCTCTGGTGTCTTGTCTGTCCAGACAAGACACCGCCGAAAAAAACTTTCCCTTGTCTGTCCAGACAAAGAAGCCCCTAAACCAGGCCTAAACCCTAAACCCTGAACCCTAAATCTTGAACCCCAAACCCTAAACCCCAAATCCCAAACCCTAAACCCTAGACCCTGAACCCTATAATGTTTCCATGCTATAAATAGATCGATACATATAGCATCAAGGAGTAAACACATGACTCAAAGCAAAATTTAGATAGATAAATGTATATATAAATGAACACACACACATATATGTATATATATATATAATATATATATATATATATATATATATTATATATTTATAAAAAATATACTAATGTTATGAGTATTATATATATAAACAATACTATGTATATTTTGCTGTGCATGTGCACGCACTATGTGTCCCCAGATCTTTGGCCCCCAGTTTCAGATAGGTTCAGAGAAGCTATATAGTTAAGCTATGCCGACGAACAAGAAGCCTGCTGCTGCAGCTGCTGTGCTGAAAAAGCCCAGTGCCAAGACAAAAGAGGCCCAGACAAAAGAGGAGGTCCTTGAAAACATGGACGCTGACCATGACGAGGGCGAACACGGTGAAGAGGAGGAAAGAACAGAGGACCCCTTGGTCGACCCACAGGAGAAGCTTGCCAAGGCTGTCACCAAGTACCCCTTTACACTCAAGAACGTGAAAAAGCACACAGATTTGATGGAGGCTCGGGGATGGAGTGCGACTGAGCTGCACGAGGCATTCAGGAAGTTGAAGCCCGCCGAGCAACAAGCTCTTTGGAAACTCTTTGAACGCGATCGCAAAGCCAACAAGGTGGATGAGGACTTTAAGAAGTTGACGAATGGCTCTGGTGCCACGAACAAGAAGCACGAGTTCTTACGTGGGTGGCTCAGCGACGGCTGCTCCGTGGGCCCGAGCTTTCGCAAAGCTCAGTTGGCCTTTGAGGCCCTGGACCGGCACAAGACAGAGGTGCAGTGGATCTCGTGGAAGCAGGTGTGCAAGAAGTTCGGCAAGAAAGAAGCACTTCAGAGACTCGAGAACGGATCGTTGAAGTACAGACGGTCACCGTCAGACACGAGGCTTTGCTTGAATTATAAGAGGCTTCTTTTCTTATATATTATACTCATATTTAAACCCTAAACCCTAAACCCTAAACCCTAAACCCTAAACCCTAAACCCTAAACCCTATATGGGGAGCAATGTCTTTTGAGTTTGAAGAAACCAGCCAAGGAATTTTTTGGAGTTCAGACACGTGCAAGAAAGCTTCTCGCATGAGCACGTCAAGAAGAGAAAGACCCAGGTGGAAACCGAGGGTGGCAAGGTGGACAAGAAACTCTTGCACGACATGGAGGGCCTGAAGATCGAGGATGTGACGGCCGAGGACTTCGAGATGCAGACCGCCCTGGAGAGCATGGAGGTGGACGAGGACGTGAAGAACTTGATCCTGACCAAGATCGGAGCGACTGAGGGCAGCTCTGGGGCTTCCTCTTCCAGCTCCTCCTCTGCAGAGAAAAAGAAGAAGAAGAAGCTCAAAGTGAAGATCTTGAAGAAAGCTTCGAAGGACAGCTCGACCAGATCTAGTGAGAAAGACTGGGAGAAAACCTCCCAGCGGGGAGATGCTGACGGCAAGCCCGAGTTCAAGAGCAAGATCGACAGCTTTCTGCAGGAGATCCAGAAGGACACTGACTTTTTCAAGGCCTTGAAGCTTGAGAAGGCCGACGCCGACGAGAAGACCTTCGTGAAGAAGACCCAGACCTCTTTGGAAGGTGCCTTGCAGACCCTTCAAAAAGCCCGCAAAACCCTGAAGCTTGAGGAGGTGAAGGAGGCCCTGGTGGCCGGCTTGAATGCCCTCAAAAAGAGCAAGACGGCGAAGGCCATGGATTGCTGCAAGGACAAGAAGAGGAAGAGCAAGGACTGACTGAGGCCACTGAAGATCGGCCAGAGATCGGTTTTGGCATCTAGCTTAGACCCTCGACATTTTAATTTACTGTACAGCTTCCTCCCGAGGACCGCTAGATCTGCCAGTATAGGTTTATCTGAAGCTTGCAAGCCGAAAATTGGCCACATATTACTGGCTGGACAGCCACGCTAAAACATCAATGGCTGGACAGCCATGCGAAAAAGTATCAATGGCTGGAACAGCCACATGTATGGTATTTCTGGTTTGGTTGATTTTTCATTTGCTCTTGAAATATTATTTTGATTACTTTTTGCACGTATCGTGTCTGCTATTCTACTAGGATATATCAAGTATTCTATCTCTTAATGTTTTCTTTTTATACAAATATATACTCTTGCTAACAGTCTATATTGAAACCTGAAATGTGTGTATATGTATGTGGACATTATATATATATGTATATGTCTGTGTGTGTTATCTTAAGTAGATGTGAGAAATAAATTATATTAATATAGTATGCAATATACCATTTATAGTGCTACACAAATGTGCAATTTATGTTACATCGTTATATATATTAAGCATCAATGGCTGGACAGCCACGCTAAAACATCAATGGCTGGACAGCCACCTGGTCTATGCTTTAAACTAGTTGCTGTCAAGTCTGGAGAAAAAAAGTCGCAGTTTTGGCCCCGTGGTGAAGGTTTTTAGCTTGACACAGAAAAGTCCACCTTGCTGAGCTTCATGGCCCCACCCATGGACGAGAAGCTGGAGACGACCGAGGAAATGAGAATCCGCAAGCGAGGCGACTTTGTCTCGAGTTTGATCTCCAAGCACCCAGCCCTGGACTTTGACTTTGTGCACAGCTTGTTTACCGTCGAGGACATGGTGGGCTTGACACCGAAACGGGCCTGGGAGAAGAAGGCCGGAAAAGCCAGGCAACTGTGCAGAGCATTGCAGGAGTTGTTGAGCTAGTGGCAGCCGGTGTCTCTTCAGAGAAGACGAACATATGGGCTTTAATTAACCACTGCATGCATGCAGACAATGAGAAATTCATGAAAAAGTACGGTTCTGAGAGCATGCTGTTGCATTGAGTCATACTCTAGTTCACAGGCTGGACAGCCTCATGCATGCAAGGTCGATGCAGAGCAGTCAAAGGCTGGACAGCCTAGACGGGCATGTATAGCTTAAAGGCTGGACAGCCTCGAGGGATGAAAGCTGTCAATGGCTGGACTGCCACTATATGACTTGTAAATTTATAAGCATGCATGAAAGAATCTATATACAGCCATGTATGGGCTCTACTGTGTTTTGCAAATATGACGAAAAGAAAAAGAGCCTCTGAAAGGCTGGATGCCATGGAACCCTCGCCCATGGGACTGATGATGCTCCGGGATTTCGCTGAAGGCAAGATGCCGGCCAGCAAGCTGCAGGAATACGCCCATGCTGCCGTGAAGAGTGGTGTCTTGTTCGAATGTGTATATTTTTCGTTTGGCTGTAGACATATGCATTAATATAAGGTGCAAATGCTCCTGACTTGGCCAAAATGGCTCAATTGGGAGCATATGGCAATTCAAGCCAGAACGCCCACAGAGATCTGATGAAATTCGCCTTCAGCAATGTGATGGCCCCCAGACTGACCTTCGTCGAGACCAACGTTTCCTTTAGAGATTTGGCCACTGGTGAAAGGAAAGTGACCCCCAAGAACGTGCCTGTGCTGCTGCTCGGCAGGCATCACTGAAATAGTTTGAACTAGTTGAATCAGCAGCTGCATGATTTGAATAAACGACTTAACTGCATGACTATTTTTCATTGAGGCTCCCTCATCTGTGGATCGAGTCCCTCGACAAAGGCGGTGTGCTTGAAAGTATTACAGCCAGTACGTCAGCATTGAAGCAGTATTGGTCAGAAGTGAACTTCAAGAGCCCCCAGATGAAGGACCCTTTTTGGAAAACTTTCTCCGTCCAGAAGGAGCTGCCAATACCACTTTTGATACATGGTGACCATGCCAGTTTTTCTGAAACTGACAGCATGCTGGTGGTCAGCATTCGCTGCCTCATATCGGACAGGTCGATTAAGAGCTCCGAGCTGCTGCTTGCTTGCCTGCCGAAAGATGCCAATGCTGGTTCTTGGACAGCCTTGTGGAAGGAACTCGCTGCCAGTCTGAGTGTCCTGGCTGCAGGCAAGCATCCAGACGGCAAGCCTTTGAGGCGATGTGTGTTGATGGCTGTGGCTGGGGATCTGGAATTCTTTGCCCAAGAGTTTGGATGGCCCACTGCCTTGAGCAACCAGCCGTGTCCTTACTGTAAGGCGGACAACCTCTTCAACAAGGACAAAGAGGTGGCACCGTTCAACGACTTCCGCCCATGTGCTGCATGGAGGGGCATGCTCAAGGCCCCACCAAACAACGGTCACCTCTTGTTCAGTGTCCCCGGAGTGAATGCCTGGAGCCTGAAACTGGACCTACTTCACATGGTAGACTTGGGGTGCAGTGCATCTGGGCTTCGATCTTGGTGGTCTAGACTTTCCCTGAGTACATAATACGATTTTCTGATATATACATATATATAGATGGAATTGATGATCGACTATAGATGTACTATATGTACATCTGACAGTCAGGCACACCTGTTCGGGAACCTGCTCTACGACTTGGTGCAGGACGAGCTCCCTGGTTCTTCTTTTTTAGAGAGGATTGTCTGTGGCCCGGGCTTAAGCTGCAGGGTGTCGCATTTTCGTTTTTCTATATAGCTGCTGAGGATCATGGAAACATATGTCGAGCTGGGAATCCCTGCCAATCGCAGAATTCCCAAGATCGCCAAGACCAACCTCGTGGGGGCCTCTGACTACCCGTGCCTGCTGCACATCAAGGGCCGGAAGATCAGGGATTTTGCCGATGTGGCTGTTTCCTGGATGCATGGTAAAATATCTTATCTAAATGTGCACACATTTACTCCCAACCTTTGACATAATTTTTAGGTTGTGCTGGCGAACAAGTTCACGGGGATGGAAGAGGGACGACACAGAGCAGAAGCTTGCAAGGCAATGAAAACTCTGTATGATTTGGCTGATCGGAAAGAATGGTTCTGGAGCAGCAAGAACCACGAGAAATTTGACAAGGCCGTGCATGCCTTTCTGTCCCACTATGCATACCTGGCCAAGGCTGCATTTCGCAAAGGCAAGACGAGATACAGCATCGTGCAGAAGTTCCACTTGTTGGCCCATTTTCCTGAGCAGTGCAGATGGGCCACACCCAGAACATGTTGGACATACGGCCCGGAGAGTTTTATGTCCATAGTGAAAAGGATAGCTAGCAGCTGTGATCGTGGAACTGCCGCCTGGCAGGTACCTGAAAAGGTTTGCAGCAAATTCGCCTTGTTTCATGACTTGATCCTGAAGGGATGGCTTGACATGGATCAGGAAGATTGAAAAAGACTTTTGAACTTATAGGTTGTCAAACGATGTCTCAATGCCTGGACAGGCAGGATCTGGGCAATGTCTGGACAGACATGTTGTGTCTTAATGCTTGGACAGGCAGGTCATGGTGTCTGGAATAGAGATCGAGAAAAAATGCCTGGAGAGGCAGCTCTCATGCAATAGCCTGGACATGAGAAAATCATGCATGGACAGGCGGTTAATGGGCAATGTCTGGACAGACAGGCAGCTCACCAATCAATGATCGTATATAATATAAAATAATGTAATACACATATATATATATATAATATAATCATGTATCTTGTTTTTTTCTGTTTTGGTTGGTTTTCAATCTTGAAAAAAATCTTGAATTTTCGTTTTTGGTTGGTTTTCAACCTTGAAAAAAATCTTGAATTTTAAAAATCTGCGCTTGATTTTTGAAAAAACATAGAATTTCGATCTTGAAAAAAATCTTGAATTTTCATTTGTTATCGTCTCAATTTCAACGAAATCCCCAAAAATCAAGAACTTGAAAAAAATCTTGAATTTTTTGCTTTTTCAAGCTCCGCTTGAAAAAATCAAGTGCGCTTGATTTTTTTCAAGTGTGGAGCCTATGGGCAGTCACTTACCGCGGCTGTCTGGACGGGCACTCCCCAGACTCAAAGAGCACCTGGTAGGTCTGGAAGATGGCATCCGTCAAGCTCTGGCCGGACTTATCTCCGAACAGGTCTCGAAGTGTAGCATCCGGTTGCCAGACGTCTACCCCACTCAGCGCCATGTATGTCTGGTGGCCTCGACAGCCCTGGCACACACGTACACAAAACACACTCCTAAGGAGTTGAGCCTGTGAGTCCAGCTGCAAAGGGTTCCAATCTGACTTGCTGACTGCTCGGGTTGGTGCATCTACGCGTGTGCACAAGATCGCAAGTAGAAGGTCGCATGTTTTGAGAGCTCGGCGCATGACCTCACTCAAGTCGGCTGCAAATGTCTTTGCTGCTCGCAGGCTTCCAAGGTCTGCTGCTCGCTGTCTGCAATGGAACAGCTGCCTTGCCAACTCAAGCCCAATTAGTACAAGCGCGGAAAGTGAAACAGAGGACTGTGGATTATGGGCTCGGGTGTGCCAGGGATCCTGCTGGACTCGATCCACAGACACGCGCCACGGTTGTGGCAGGTGAGGACACAGGGCTCTGCGACATCTTCATGCAGCACGCCCTCATGGCTTGCGGCTTGCCGCTGCCTCTGGAACTCTTGCTGAAGAAGCATGACGTCGGGGGCCACGCGAACTTGCGTCAGGGTAAACAGCACAACCAACAACCAATCCGGACACAGAAACGTGCATGCTGTTCCCTGCTTGGTGACAAGCAGACCTGCGACTGGGCCAAGGTGGCACGTCCACGGATCGCGCTGACCCCCAGGAACGGGCCGCGTACGAGGAGCATGGCTGGCCATAAGTGTAGCGGCAGTCTGTGGGGAAGCCCTGCACACCAAGCATCTCCTTCAGAGTCAACCAACGGTGGTGTACGGAACTCCACCAGACATTGGCGCTGGCGGTCAGGGTCATCAACACCTGCAACCAGAAATGCCCACTGGACAACAACACAACCTGCTTGCGCGGACGCAGACAAAGGAGCGGACATGATACTGTCTTGTACACAATTGAACTCCCCCTAGTTCGGAGCCACGCTCATATAGTCACGCAGGAAATTCTTCTCCATGATCCCAAGGCACTCCAGGCACTCCTCAAACGCTGCGACACCGTCTTCCGCAATGGTTGGCGGCCGTCTGTGGGCCCAGCAAGAAGAGGGTCTGCTCGAGGCCCAGTGGAGTTCTTCATCCAAGGCTTCCGCAATATTCCTTACAAGACACAATGTCAAAAAAAAAACTTATATACGCTGTGCGCTGCCAGTGCCGGAAAAAAGACACAACTGCAGAGGCTGAAGACCTACACCTGTGGGCAGCGGGAGCCGCGCAGTCTGAGCGCGTGTCTCCCAGAAGAAAGCTTCCCACGCGTGCTCTGCCACCTTGTGGAACATTTGGCTGAAGATGTGGAGGAGACTATGAAAGCCCAAGGTCTTCTGCTTGTGGCGTCCCCTGCAGCAGGTACCATCTGCTGCACAAGCTCGCAAAATCAACATGCCAGGCTCTATCTGTTGCGCGACCAGGCTACGTCATGCCACTATGCAGCCAGGGTGCACACACCACTGCCGATTTCGGGTCACTGGCCAGCCCAGCTGCAGTGGGCTGATGATGTCAAACGTCCAATCGTACATTGGCAGGCAGTCCACCAACAAGGCTCTGTCGAAGCCCTCAACGTTCTCCTGGACCAGTATCGGTTCCTGGATGGTTCGTCTCAATGCCACCCAGATAAAGAAGTGGGCGCGGGACATGGCGCTGTCGAAATCGCGAAGGCCGAAAGGACTTACATCCGTACATGGCGTTCCTGCTACGTGCAACATGCCGACGGTGTCGTCGATGCTGCACTCCTGCTCGTGTCTGAGGCAGTAGGCGTGCCTGGCGTGGCAGGGTCAACTGTCCAAGTGTGTGTTTGCAGAATCTGTGCAACTATGAACCAAGACAGTAAAGAGTCAAGAGCATTGCTGGCCCGGATGCTTCCGGATGGCTCGGTCTTTCAGCACCATGGGCAGCAGGTGCGTGTCTATCCGACCACTACGCTGCCACTCGTCCAGGCTGTCACGCAAAGGCTGCTTCAGAAAGACTGTGATGTCACCGTAGAGGCAATCTGGAGGATGAGGATGGATGAGGAGCTCCGTTTGTGCAGCCTTGCTCCACTCCTGGTAGTTCCGGGCAACAACTATTGCTCCTTGTGTGCCTACCTACCTCTCCCGACTCCTAACTACAAGACAATTACCTGCTGACGTAAGGGGCCACTGCGTGCAGATGTCGTGGGAACGGCGCCAGCGGTTCCTCCTCGAACATGTGACAGCAGGCACATCTCAGCATTGCAAAAGCCGTGCCAGGACTGTCCACACCGCTGAACGCTGTGCTGTAGCTGGCCAGCGACATGCGAGTGAGTAGCTTGGCCAACGACAACATGTCCGGACTCAAGTCTTGCGCTTCCACGCACACGCTGCACATGTCCATTGAGTTGTCCCAGATGTTCGCGCACGCGGCGTACGTTTGCAAGAAGCGTTCTGGCCAGCCTTTGCTGGATTCAAGGCCGAGCATGCCATGCTGAGCAGCACGAGTTTATTTGGAGCTGTAATTCTGTATGCTGGCTAGGAGACGTTGCAGATCTGCCCAAGCATCCATTGCGTCCACGGTCGGCCGTGCTTCTTGGTGCGCCATTCCATTCCCTTGCGCCGCTGCTGCTTCCGAAAAGCAGTCAGCAGCCGCAGCATCTGCGGCATCCGTCCTACTTCCAGAGACACGTGCTGCTAGTCTCACAGAACGTGTGTGTGTGTGTGTGTGTGTGTGTGTGTGTGTGGCTACAACTCGTGTCTTTCTGACGTCTAAGGAACAACTGCATTTGTGCCCGGGCACACAGCCACGTGCGCGGCACGCTCCGTGTCTGAGGAAGAGCTCGCAGAAGCCGCCAAAGCTTCTTGCAAGCTCTGGTTGCTGCTGTTCAACGTCTCGGTCTCGGTCTCCGATTGCCTGCCGCTGCTGTGGCTGCACGCTGCGGCAGCCCGTCCAGGTCCTGGCAGTTCTGGCTCCTCGCGAGGTGCTGGCAGTTCTGGCTCTTCGCGGGCTTATCAGGTCTAGCTCTGGCCTGCCTACAACTTATCAGCCAAATAGGCAACAATGGTCTCGCACAAAAGAAATGCCTCAAAGATTCCCCACGCGCCCCATGCCTACGCAACAAATCTGCCGTGAAACAACTACCTCAAAGCTTCCCAACGGCCTCGCTCGCAGGGCGCTTGGTGCGGTGTCGCTTGCGCGGCTGTGCCACAGTGTCCCCCGGCTCTGCAGGCCCTGCAAGCACTGCTTCTGGCGTTTGCAGCACACCAGGGAGGCGTCCGTGTCCCCAGCCGTTGCGGGACAAGAACCAGCCAGGCAGCACGTCCATGTTTTCCAGCGGCAGAAAGTCACTGAGCACCACTAGGTACAAGCTGGACTTGCGGCTTGCGCGCAGCTCTCGAAACAAGGTGTCTGGGTCTGCTAGCCTGGGGCGCAAGCGCAGTGGCACCAGTTCCAAACGCAGTTTGAAGCTGTCGTGCACTCGCAGGGAACAGACCTGGCGAGCCACTCCCAAAACCTGCAGCTGGTCGGCCCCTGCACGCCTCACCAAAGCGGCCGGCGTAGTTTCGGCCACCTCTGCAGGCTGGCCGTGCAAGCGGAACAGCACCGGGGCCGCGTCAGACGCAGCTTCGCAGCGTCTCAGCTCTACCTCGTCCGCCTCATTGTTCTCTAAGAGACAACACTCGAAGTGGCTGGCAGGAAACAGTCTGCGCAGCGATTCCACGCACACGGCCATGTCGGCTGCAAGTGGCCCTCTACGACCTGTACAACGTCAGTACTTTTCTTTCCCGTAAGTCTGCGCACTTCTGTTCTAGTCCATTGTATTTACTCCATTCTAATGTACTCTATTGTATTCGGTTCTGTTCTTTGCTTTTAGATACAGGGCGTAGACACACTCTCTCTCTCTCTCTATATATATATGTATATATCTATCTATCTATCTATATATCTATCTATTTATTTATCTATCTATCTATCTATGTATGTATACGGGTAACACTATCAACAATGTATCCTGCGAGAGAGAGAGAGAGAGATATATATATATATATATAAAGGAGAGAATATACCGACGGCGGCGGTGTAAACATAAACTTCTATTACTCATACCGCCTGCCGGCGTCTTTACACCACCGCTGTCGGGCCGTCGGTATAAAGACAGCGGCAGGCGGCATGAGTAATAGAAGTTTATGTTACACCGCCGCCGTCGGTACATTCTCTCTTTTATATATATATATCTCTCTCTCTCTCTCTCGCAGGATACATTGTTGATAGTAGATGATACAACAAAATATCCAAAAATCATCTGATGCGCACGTACTTCCGTTTTATTACGTGGAATTATATGATGCAAGAGTATGTTCTACAAGCTCTATATTTGATTCTTGTATATATTGCACCTTTTATGTGTTAGGGTTTAGGGTTTAGGGTTTAAGGTTTACGGTTTAGGGTGTAGGGTTAAGGGTTTAGGGTTTAGCATTAAGGGTCCAGGGTTTCGGGTCCAGGGTTTAGGGTATACTAAACCCTCAACTTCAAACCCTAAACCCTGGACCCTAAACCCTGAACGCTGAACCTTAAACCCTAAACCCTAAACCGTAAACCCTAAACCCTGAACCCTGAAACCCGAACCCTAAACTCCAAACCCTAAACCCTAAACCTGAACCCTGGACTCTAAACCCTAAATCCCAAACCCTCAACCCTAAACCGTGAAACCCTAAACCCTAAACCCTTAAACCCTACACCCTACACCTTAAAAATTAAACCTAAACCCTAAACCCTACATCTTAAACCTACTCCCTAAACCCTAAACCTTAAACCGTAAGCCCTACACATTGCAGCCTCTAAGCATCAAGGCTCTAGAGGCCAGGCTCCTACTGAGCAGCTCTTATAGAGGCCTGGCCTTTTGGGTCAGGGCCCCTAGAGGCCAGGCCTTTAGGGCCCCTACAACCTAGAGGCCGGACCTCTAGGGCCTGGCCTCAGAACTCAGCTCGTTTACGGGCCTGGCCAGGCCTCTAGGGACCTGCCCGGCCTCTAGGCCCCTAAACCCTGAAACCCTAAACCCTGAACCCTTAACGCTAAACCCTAAACCCTTAACCCTAGACCCTAAACGGCAAACCTTAAACCCTAAACCCTAACACATAAAAGGTGCAATATATACAAGAATTAAATATAGAGCTTGTATGAATTCCACGTAATAAAACGGAAGTACGTGTGCGTCAGATGATTTTTGGATATTTTGTTGTATCATCTTGTGTGATCTTGTTTCATACAATATAAGTGTATATACCGTACATGCTGCAAGCGAGACGCACACACGTGTGTATGTATACTGTGCTATACTAGTGTACGATGCATAAACAAACGTATATAATGTATTCTTACAGCGTGTGTATAAAAATATAAATAAATAAATATATATATATATATATACATATATATATATATAATCCAGACGTGCATATACACCGTTATATATATATTATATATTTTATATATATTCATCCAAAGTGCTTTGTAAACATTATGCACAAAAGGTCTTCTTCGTATGTACGTCTACACATACATAGTAACTTGGTGTCTTGCATAGATGTGTGTTGCACAGATACGCAACAAAACGCACCAAGTGTCTATGTAAGATTACCTATTAGTTATAGTTATTGCATATCCATACATAAATAACATACTAGCCTCGAGCATAACCAGTTTACATTATCGTACGTATTTTGCATGGTATATTCGGTATATTATCTATGTATACATATATATATGTTTATATACTTATATGCACACGTTATCCTCGCTTTCATGATAGATTCGCACATATACATATGGACTGTGTAAATATATCTGTTTGTGTAAATATTAAATGTGTATATTTGCATATCTCACACGATGCGCCGAAGGCGGTACGAAAGGAGTGGGTCCTAGCATTGTTGCAGTGCTGCGCTCTAGCAGTACAGCCCTTCGGGACTGTAACAGCCACGGGGCCGCGTGCGAAGCTAGAGGCGTCACAGAAGCTCGACCCAACCTAGCCCAAGCAGTGTAATAAAGACATTCCTGCGCGGACAGGGAACAGCAAATCGACCCAGTCTAGCCCAAGCAATCTAGCACAGGCATTGCTGCACACAGAAACCTGTTCCGCAAAGCAGAGGTGGCCTGTGCCTCTGTTCTCGTCGGATCTGCAAGCCCCGCTGGAGCCTGACAGTTTCTCAGGTCTACTTGCGCACAATTTACTTCCGTGTCATGCTGCAACGTTCAACTAACAAATGTCAGCTGCCCCCTTGCGGCGTCCTAGAGGCACACATGCAAGGCAGAGTGCCAATCTCGTTTCTCATCTGCTTGGCCCCGCTCTTCCCCGGTGGGCTAGTGGCAAGAGGACGTAGAAGAAATCTACACATGTCAGATCACAAGCCGTGTGCCTCACTGTCTTCGGAGAGAGACCCGAGCGACTGAGAGCTACGAAAGGGGTCTGGCTCATGATGCGACTCAGCAAAGGTATCTGACTCCGCAGCTTCCTGGGGCCCATCGCTTCCAAAAGCCGAAGTTTCCGGAGTGTCTACTGGCACTGGCCCAGACAGGTCACGAGTGTCACCGTCACCAACTTCCAGCGCACGTTTGAAGGCACGTGGACGCGGCAAAGGCTTGGGCGGAGCGCGAGCAGTCATCTCCATATGCACACTGCCGGAAGTCGCAGCGGTCGCCGCGCTGTGATGTGCAGCTGTGCCGCAGGCAGTGGACGCCGCAGCGCCAGGGCCATGGGAGAAGGTGGGTCTGGTCGGTCCGGGCGCAGCCGCCGACGGCGGTGGCATGGTCTGCATCTGCACGTTGAGCATTCCGCCCTGCGTCACAGTCATCAAGTTGATGACACGAGCGTCTCCATGCACGGTCAGCAACTGCCGGCCGTGTCGCTTGGGCTGCCCAGTCTGCGCCGGCTTGGAGTTCATGATGCAGCAAGAGGCCAGCGGGCCACGATCCTGCTCGCACTGCTAAACGTGGCCTGCGAGCCATGATGTGAGTCGCCGGACAACATTGCTTCGTAGTGCGTCTCCGAGATTGAAGAAATGCATGTGGCATGTTTACGGAGTGCTGCGAACTCTACGCAGTAGGGCACTGAACCTTAACAAAAAACGCACGCTACCCAATCCCCGCCTCCACAGACAACTTGACTCTGCAGACTACGCCGAAGAGCCTGGCCCAAGCGGTGTGCCAGCACATGCCAGGAACCCTCCACCTAGAACTGCTGACATCACCTCATCAGTGCAGATCCAGCAGCCCTGCAGCTATCAGTCCAGTGCAGTAGGCCCCATCCTACGTCGTCTCCTAGCAAGCTTCGTGCGCCTGCCGGGCACAAGGCCGTTCGCAAGTACTCCCAGCAAGCAGCGCAACAGGTAGAGGAGCTCGCCCGTGCCAGGCGTCGTGTCACGTCCCTGGCACATTGCAAGCGTACGAGAACTGAACAGATAAGCCAAACTGCGCACACGACTGCGACAGAAGCTGTCAGAAGCCTACACAGGGGAGCTACACCTCGCAAACCTCGAACAACTTGAACGTCGGTAAACTTGCTTGCAAGTGGCTCGCCAAAGAAGGCTCGGGCATTTGCGTGGCAAGTCCCTGGGCCATTCTCCACAGCTAACTTTTGCTGGATGAGGTCCAGCGGCACTTCATCGTGCTGGCACCTGAATCACACACGTGTGAGACACACACACACACACACACACACACCCACCCACCCACCCACCCACCCACCCACCCACCCACGCACCCACCGCCCACACACCCACGCCCACCCACGCACCCACCCACGCCCACACCCACACCCACACCCACGCCCACACCCACACCCACACCCACACCCGCACACCACGCACGCAGACACCCACCGCAGCGAAGCGCCCCATGCAGTGCACAGCAGCCAACTTCCTATTCCAGCGTAACGCGAGAGCTGAGCAGCAGCGCTGAGTGCCAGACAAGAAGAAGAATGGCAAGTCACCCGCCGCAAGAGGTAGGTCCCGAAGGGGCGACACAAAGTGCTGCACCAGGGCAGCTGCCGCAGCACGGCTGCAAGCGTCGCTGCAGTGTGGGTGCCATGCCAGCAAACACATAGGGCACTGTTTTGTCTCCGGTTCGGCAACCTGGCAGGCGACGCAAGGTAGAGCTTCCAGGCAGGCTTCTGCGTCAAAGGCTGCCCGCCAGATGGAGCGCAAGTTCACTGCATCTGTTGGCATCCGATCGCGCGTCTTGCGGCGAGACCGAACGCCAGCACCAGGCAAAATGACAAGGCTATGGCGGAAAGGCCTCTTGGCATGGAAGTTGGAAGGCTGGATGACGCAGTTCTCCTCATCAAGCTGCACGGTCCTCCCTTGCAGCTGTCTGCACGGCTTCACCCATGTAACAAAGTCCACTTCCAGAGCATCTTCTGCTAGATGTACCAAAAGAGACACCTCGTTGCCCAGGCAAGAATCTAAGCGATCCGGCTCGAAGTAACGCTGGCCCGCGTCCATGAGCGTCAAGCTAGCAACACTCTGCTGCAGAGCCGCCTTCCAGGACGTCACCGCGTTGTCGATGTCCGTAAAGCCCAGCTGTCGTGATGGGTCTGCAGGAGGTGGTCGGGATGCCGATGACCGTTGGCTCTGCTCGCCCCCCCTCATTCAACATATCCTCCAGCACGTCCTCGTCCTCTTCCCCCGCAGCTCTCTGCTCCACGTTCGCGTCCCCACCACGCAAGCTGTCGGCTGCCTCTCCAGCCATCCGGCGCTCGACTGCAGCAGCTACAAAGCGACGGTGAACGTTCTCCAGGTCATCGAGGTCACGGCGATCCTCGCTGCCTTCCGCTGCCACAGACTCTCCGTCTGCGCAGTCGTCATGCCAGCCCCCAGAAAGCTCGGCCTCTATTTCTTGAAGTTCCTCTGCTAGCCCATCATGTTCCTCGTCGTCATCGCCGCAACCATCAGGACCATCAGCGTCATCTCGCAGAGCAGCACGCGAAGAAACTTGAGGCTCAGCCTCCGGGCGCGGTTCACCGGAATCCTGGGCCGAAGCAAAGTATAAGGGTAGGAGTCCCAAACATATATCAAAACAAGGCTTCTACCAGCACGACAATAGCACTGGTCAAGAGTGTAGGAAAAGCCAAAAAAAAACTTTCCAGCAACATCACCTCCCTCCATTGTTGGTTTTTGAATTAGGCTACCACACGAACCCTCCTGTACTCCTCAGTGTCCCAAGAGCCGGTCTCAGCACTGTCACACGGGTCTTCTCAACCACTTCCAAGGCAAAGGCGGCGTTCGGGAAAGCGCGCAGCATGTCCGCAGGTATGGGTCTTCGCTGAAACACAGCAACCGAAAGATCTGGCCAGGAATCACGGGCGCTGTCCTTGTCCGGTCTTGCCTCCGCCAAAACATCCAGAGCAGACACAAAGGTCAAAGTGGTGGGCAGGACAGCGAGCTCCGTGTCTGCGCCGCAGAGCACTTGCAACAGCCAACACACTCTTGCAGAAAGCTCCGCAAGCAAGAAGACCTTGGCATTGCCACGTGTGTCCACCTGCCCAATGTGTACCCCTACGAGGAATCCACGGCCATCCTCCACTGGACGGTCACGAGACAGCTGCAACGCTCTGCGAAGCTTGGTATGCACGGGCACTGCGCGTCGCTGCTTTGGACCTAGCGTCAGGGCAGGACTGTGCTTTGCCGGGTTGTTCGGCGGCAGTGGCCTGGGCTCTGGGGGGGTCCAGCGCCACTGCGTCTGCAACACCTCAGTCTCAAAACCCTGGTAGAGAATGGAGGACCGGGCCAACTTGTCGGCCACCGGCCGCACGTCCTGCAAAGAAACCCCTGGAGACATCATCGTCAGTGTCTTGCGTGCATTGACGCGGCTGGAGAGCAGCTCCAACGTCATCCTCGCGTTGTTGCCGCAAGACATCGCTGTCTTCACCATTGAGTTGAGGCTCTCCATGCTGCCACTGTGAAGCTTCACTCGCAAAGCAGTCATGGAAAGGAGAGCATGCAGGCATGAGCCAGGCTGCAAAATACCGTCATCGCGCGCCTTCTCAAGATCCACTCTGCAGCGAGCGCGAATCTTCAAAGTGGTTGACTCTAACTCCTGCTCCGGTGCATCTAGCAAGAGCCTCGCAACATCCTTGCGAGACTGCAGCTCTCTATCCAAGGGATGCTCCAGCAGCTTGAACAATGGCCAGGGCCACCTGAAAGGAGAGACGGCGTGACATGAAGCCTCTAACGACTCCAACGAAGCCCTAGAATCTCCTAGGAGTGTATACTAGGCGTTCCTCTGCTACAAGAACTCCGTAGCCATCCATCTCCGAAGGACATCACCACTCAGCCCTAAAAAAAAAGACGTCCTGGAAAAGAGCAAGCAAACTCGTCGACTGAAGGCTGCTGCGTTGTGAAGCAGCAGAAGTAAAGCCACATCAGCCAGAGTTCTTGTCACGTCTTCTGCCAGTCCCTGCGGAGACACCTGTGAAGCTTCTTGCGCCGCTGCCTGCGTCAGGCCATCCAGTCCAGACAGCAAAGACTCGAACTCTGCCATCACAGTGCACATGTCTCGACACAACAAGTCAACCACGGGCATCTGGATCTTGTCCGGCTGCGGTCGGCGATCCAGCATACGGTAGAAGTGCAGCAAGGGCTGGCGGGTCTCATGCGCTACCCTCATGAGGTACCAGAAGCAGGCGTCAGATACCGCGCGAAGAGTGTTGCTCACGTATTTACCTGATCCGAAGAGCTGAACCCCAAAAGTGTCCAAAGAAAGAAAAAAACAGACCTGACAAATGCACAATTCTGACTGAGCCATGAAACTGGTCTTCTGTTGGTATGCTTTTGCATCTTCCAAGGACAAAGCATCCAGAACGCTTCCAGTTGTGTCAGTGTCCGTCAAAGCAGGCCTACTGGACGCAGGCGTCTGTGCAGAGCCACCTTTCTGCAAAGCGTGTCGCAGAACCTCGAGGACATTGTCGACGCCGGCTCCCAAGTAAAACTCCTCGGCGCCTGGGCGTGAGAACGCTCTGCAACCGCAATAATGAACCCCCGCACAAAAAGCAACATCCGGAATTCAAAAGGAAGCAAAAACAGCATTCACTTCTGTATCCCCGCATTATCCTAGAACCCAAAGGGAAGCACAAAAAAGCAGCAATCACTAATCGTCGCTCCGCTTGGGCGCTGTCAATGCTTGCCCACCGGCCAGCAATGGCAATGGGCGGTACCTTGAACAAGATTCGCTTGTTGGCGTACCTGTCGTCGCCTTCGTGAAGATACACCCAAGACGACCGCACTTTCTTGAGGTGAGACCGCCATGTGTGACTGGTGGTAGCCACACTGGTAAAGTAACGGTACGACTTCTGAAGGCGGCGCAAGCACGAGTCCACCAGGGATAACTGCCCGCGCGCTGCCAGATGAAACTGGTGCTTCAAGCATGGGACAGTAAAGAGCAGCAGGTTGCTGTAGTCATCCCTCGCAAACAGCGTGTGCAGGCTGCTGCGCATGCCAACCTGATCCGGGCCGGAATCACCAACGTTGACAAAGATGTGGATGTAGTCAGCTGGAAGTTCGTGTGTCCTGACCATGCCCGTTTTAGCCACGGAGCAGAAGGCGAGAAAGAACATCAGCAGAGAAATTGCAGCAAGAGCAAAATGAAGCCACAACTCAGCCACAACCAAGAAGAGCAGGATGCACAGCAGAAGAACATGCCATCACAAGCAAACGCCAACATCGAGTTGAGACAAAGCGAGTTGTGGTTCCATTAGAAAGTCGGACAAGTGACTCCATCAGACTTCGAATCTGCTCCCAGTCTCGCAGGCCCACGGCAGCAAGCTGCTTCTGGACAATCCCGTGGTTACCAGCAGCTGTGCCATCTGCACAAACCTGCAGCTCCGACCTCAAGGGTGAGACACGTACGCAGACGAGACACAACAAACATCACTTAAACCTTAAACTTAACAGCAAACAGACCGAAGCCTGGCATCCAAACAACCCAAAGACCCTAAAGACAAGAACCCCCCAAATAAACAAACAAGAAACAAAATACAAGCGATATGGAACGAAGACACAGACCGAAAATGACAAAACTTGACTTCTGATAGCAATACAGCGGCATCCCAGACAATGTCCTGAAAGCCTGCTGAAGATTGTTCTGCCGCAGCGCTGGCCAATCGACCATGATAGAGCTTGAAAACTCCAAACCTTGCAGTTTCTGCTTGTTCCAAATGGACGAATTTGTTGCATCTCCAGACCAGAAAGTGCAACCTAGGGTAAATGTTCCGTCAATCCCTTCCGTGTCCGGGCAGTGCAGGCGCAGCCATTGCGGCATCTGTGACTGCTCGGCAACAACACGAGGCAGGCCCAAATCATCATGGCAAGCATTGTCCTGGGACGTCACCTGTCGCCCATACTTCTCTTCAATCTCTCGCTGTCGCTCAACAATCTGCAGACTGGCATCCTCACGTTCCTGCACGTCGGAACCCATGCTTTGGTCAAGCCACTGACGGAGGCAACGCAGTAGCAGGTAGATCCCGTCATGGAAACACTTGGATTTCGACAGCATGTGAGCCCAACACAGCACCTCACATCGAGTCACTGTCCAGCGACTCGAGGCGATCAATCAAGGAGGCAAGAGGAAAACTCGAAGCTGAGACTAAGGCGAGGTTCTTCCTCAAACCCAAAACCAAACTTCCTTTCCAAGTTAGCTTGCGGCCCTTGTGCCTGACAATGTCGAGAGGGTCGCTGCGATCATGCAGCTGTAGCAGCTTCGCCTCTTTCTTGGAATGCTGTATTTTCAGTCTCCTGATTGTCTGGTTCTTCATGGCGATGTCCTTCTTCCACTTCTCAGCTTTCACCCTTTCTTGGGCAAGCACTGTCGACTGCAAGGTGGCCACCTGCAACAAACTCTCCTGATCCAGGCCTGCCAAGTACCCTTCACGTTCCTGGCGAGAACACGCAGACAGCACAAGGACACCCTTTGCTGATCGATAATCTATGGGCTGTTGTGCAACGGACACAGTCGCAGCAGGCGATTCGGCATCGCTAGGAGGCGGCTGCGGCTGGGGCCACTGGATGTCTATCTCGTGAAACTGGTTCCCTGCCGAAGAAGAACTGGAGGCAAGGTTTTCGACACTTGCCGTGCCCATTCTGGGACAATCGTCATCAAGCTGGTCATCGATCGCCCGCTTTCGACCACGTTGTGCTGACAGCCCCGCACGAGCACTGAGTTCTGACCGAAGCAGCTCATGCCAAGTCGCATGGAAACTATCACTGAGCACCGCCCCTACTTCAGAGAGCAATTGGGGAACACATGAGAGATCGTACATGACGCCCTGGCTCGTAGTGTGTTGCGCCTGCAAGCATTCCCGGGGTTCCCGCAGCCCACAGCCCCAAAACTCGTTGTTCCCTGCTTCAAAAAGAAATGGAATAGACAAGAATCTTGACGCAAAGCAGGCATCAGCGGAGTCAGCTGACATTTCGAAGCAGCCAGGCCAGAGACAAAACCTTTGAACCTGAACATGTCGCGAAGAGGAGTTTGCATGTCTGGGGTACTGGATTGTGCTTGAGGAAAAACAAAAAAAACTTCTGCCGTCCAAGATTCTGACCCCAAGAGCACAGCAACCTACCGTTCTCGCACGTCGAAAGCGGTAGCAATCTTGTCAGACGACTGCTCAGACCGTCCATGGTGGCCAAGCAATGGCAACATACTATTGTCAGGCTTTATGTCTGAAAGTCCACTGTTCATGACTGAAAAGCTACATGCTATCATACGATTCATGCAAGTATTCCTTCTTAAAGGGCCTTGTCGTGCCTACAAGAGCAAATGGAGGTCGATAAATTTCATAACCTCATTGCAAAACAGAATAACTGGAAGCGCCGCCCAGCAAACCAAACGCCATGTGCCTGCAGTCCAAAACAAGAACAGCCAGCGACAAGTCTATACCCAACCCTGCAGAATTTAAAGCCCATGTCATCTAATTTCTGTCAGAGATTAATCATCTGACATACTGCAATCCACTGCCGAGCACGGCAAAAGTGATACATCACCCACGAAAGTATTGCAACGGTACGTGAAAAAAAAGAGACACCTCTACGATCTGTGATCTGGATTAATGTTGTTGGCTCAATTGGATACTCTGTGGGGGTCCTAGGAACCTACGGGGGGGCCTGCTGGAGGCAGCCCCGTGTGCATCAACCCACGACCCACATCTGCACATGCTTAGGTTTAGGGTTTCGGGTGACCGTATCAAGAGACCCCAGACAGTACCTACTCACAGAAGCTAAGGCTCCAGACATCCCACGTCCGGAAGCGGGATACCGAACTCGGGTTTATAAACCGAGGCTTTGGGGTTTAGGGTTTAGGGTTTAGGGTTTAGGGAGGCTTTCGGTCCTATACCCCACAGCCCTAAGACCCCAAACCAAATGTCCTGGTTTGGGGCTTACGTGCAGGAGGCCACCGGAACCTAGCCGAATCCACACCCTGAGTTTAGGGTTTAGGGTTTAGGGTTTGGGGCTTCATTCCCGGTTCCTCAATCGTTTTATATGAAAGCAAGCCCCAGAAAAGCTGGATCAGAGCCAGGCGCAGGGAATCTAATCTACCGAATGCGCAGCTTGTTCGCGTGACGTACATCCCGAAGTGGATGTATAAGGGTACAGCAAATTTTGGCTCTCAGGAGTGCTCCGCGGGCCCGTGTCGGGTCGGAAATAGGGGTACCCTAATAGCCTAGACCCTTAGACCCTAAACCCTAAACCCTGAACCCTAAACCCTAAACCCTAAACCCTAAACCCTGTGAAGGTTCCTATGCGTCATGAAGGATGCTGAGACTTTCCGTTCGGGTTGACTGTTCGGGGCTGCCTTGGGTTCGGAGCATGGTGGAAGCCTCTCTTGCTAGAATGTTTCTATACGGCCGCTTGCAAGCTAACCCCAGAACCCAGGCCCTGCCCTGCCCAACCCCCTTAAACCCTCGGGGGTCATGGGAGGTAGGTACCTAGGGAACCTTTGGCTCACATGCCCCCCTTGAACCCGCCTCCCTAATACTCTTTGCTTAAGAAGCCCCAGAAAGCTAAAAGAAACAATCCCCTTATTGCCCTTACAGGGAAGAATATATATATATATATATATATATATCTGTATATACATATATATTAATATGTATAAATACAAAAAATATATATGTATATATAAGGACCCTATAAACTGAGCAGGCTGTGTTCCGAAACCACAGAAAGAAGACCCTCGACCGCAAGCCACAGGTTGACTTGTTAATGAATGGATTTAGGTTCAGGTAACTCTTCGAGTTTAGGGTTTAGGGTTTAGGGTTTAGGGTTTAGGGTTTAGGGTGCTTCTAGACCCCCGAACCTCGAGCGTCCGGTCGGGCCCGCAAAGTGTTTGTGGGTGACGAACCCAGCCCCTTGCCGGTCATTCCTCATCACTACTATTTGCTCAAGATCCCCCCCAAAAAAAGTACCAAAAACATATTCTTCCTTACAAGGGTAACATAGGGATTGTCGTCTCTCTTTTTCCTTGTTGGGGGGGGGGTTCTCAAGCACATAGTAGATCAGGTTCCTAGGAAGGAGCCCTGCCTTAGTGGTCCTTCGTGCGCGAAGCAAAAATGAGACTTCATCCCACAAACCATAACCCTAAACCCTACACCCTACACCCTAAACCCCTAAACCCCTAAACCCCTAAACCCCTAAACCCCTAAACCCCTAAACCCCTAAACCCCTAAACCCCTAAACCCCTAAACCCCTAAACCCCTAAACCCCTAAACCCCTAAACCCCTAAACCCAAGACCCTAAGCCCTAAAAATGAGACATGGCATCAAAGCCACCTGGGACCCCATAACCGAAACCCTTGCAGGAAAGTCTTGAGGATTTGGCGGGGTTCAGGGGTTTAGGGGTTTAATGTGTTAAGGGTTTGGGGTTTTTGGAAGTCTAAGCTCTAAGCCCTAGGCCCTAAGCCCTAAGCCCTAAGCCCTAAACCCTGAACCCTAAAGCCTCAACCCTGAACCCTAAGCCTAAGAGAAATTTTCAGGGTTTCGGGTCGTTGTGAGGGCACGGATGGCTTAGATAAGGTTTCGAAGGTTTCCTGAGGACGGACAGAAAGGACCCTCCGGTCGCAGGATTTTTTGGGTGCAAGGGTTCAGACCTAGAGGCATGAATTGGGTTTAGGGCTGAGAGTTTGGGACGTGCGGGGCTTAGTCTTGGACGGATGCAGTTCAGTTAGAGGCTTGCCTCACAACTGCTTCGCACTTCGCCATGGAGCCTTGAGAGTAAACTGTGACCGACCCCAGTTATTTGCCACACCCGGGATGTTTCCGTCAGCGGCGGAAGCGCGGAATCTCTGCAGACTTGTATATGTACTCCTGCCACTAGAACCTCTACTAGGCATACTTCGATGGGTATGCGGATGCACGTGCACACATCTTGTAGCTTGAAAGATTCAAGCTGACATCCGAAACCACAATCCCCCACCTCAACCCCTATGAAATAACACTCCATGAAGCTTGCAGGCCTTTGCTCGGGGGTGAGATCGCAAAGTCACAGCCCCCATTACAGCCAGCAAAGCTAAGCAGAAATGAACTTCTTACTTCTGATTCCTTCTGCATAAGCCTGAAGACCACCCTCAACCGCAAACGGCGAAGTTGTGTGGAAAGGTGCGGCTGCACCATGCTCTTGCTTCTACGTTGCAGCATGTCCCGCACATTTCTACGCGTTTTATCGAAGATGCACATGCTGAGACTTGCTGCTTTCTCGAGTCTAGATGTTGCAAATTTGCAGGTGCGTTTCATTTCAACATTCCCAGATGTCGCAAGGTCTAAACTCTCTGAATCACAGCCTTCTAGATGGCAAAGATCGGAACTCTGCTAGCTGCAATTCCTAGATGGCGGGTGGTTTTCAAGGGTTTAGGGTGTAGGGCGAATAAGGTGGAGGGTGTCACAAAACCAATAGCCCTAAACCTAAACCCTAAACCCTAAACCCTAAACCCTAAACCCTAAACCCTAAACCCTAAACCCTAAACCCTAAACCCTAAACCCTAAACCCTAAACCCTAAACCCTAAACCCTAAACCCTAAACCCTAAACCCGGACCCTAAACCCTAAACCCTAAACCCTAAACCCTAAACCCTTTCAGAAAGGGAACCGGGGAGAGAAGGAAACCAACGGACATCTTTGGGAGCTGGAGGGTTCTAGGTAGTAGGGTGGGTTTAACGCTCGGCATCACCAGCAGCATGCGATGGCCTGCTCACTTTAGGGTTTAGGGTTTCGGGTTTAGGGTTTTGGGTTTAGGGTAGTGGCGTGATCCGCCCTAAACAAAGCCACAAAAACCTCCTTTTCTGTCAGGGTTCAGGCTCTAAACCATAAACCCTAACACCCTAAACCTTACTGTGGGCCATGGTGGGGGTGGGGCCTGACACTTCACCGAGCGAAGATAGGTTGTTACAGATAGAGCAGTTTCTAAGGGATCTGGGGATTTGAACTTCAAGCTTGGTAGACTCTGCCTCTTCCGCAACGCTGGGAGAAGAAGCATCCCAGATTGTCAAAAAGTTGTGAAGCTGAGTGGATGCTGTAAAGCGGGCGGCAGACGGCCATGAAAGTGAAAAGATGCGATTGACTCTGACTTGGACTACCCTCAACCCTCAACCCTCAACCCTCAATCAACCCTCAATCCCCAAGAGCCCTCGAACGGGGTCCACAAACTCCCGCGGGCTGAAAATCAAAAAGGGAACCCCAAAGCCCGAAACCCCTCTCAAAACCGATAACTCGAAGGGTTTCGGGTTTAGGGTTTAGGGTCAAGCCCAAAAGCCCTGACATTATTGAGGTTGAGTGAAGACCCAAACTAGATTAAATCCTCAAGGTGTATGTGCGATTTGGAGCATTCCGAGAATCAACTGCGCCAACAGGCACGACATTCCAGCTCCCTTCTTCACCCGTAAAGCTTCTAGAGTCAAGGCCTCAAAGGAGTAGGGCTTCGTGTGGCACCCCAAGCCCCTCGCATATTCAGTCCGAATCACCCTAATCATGGCTCCTACACCGCCCCAGGTATGGCTTTAGGTACTAGGGGATAGGATTAGGGGGACCCTTGGGGATATAGACCCTCTGAATAAGGTCCCTTGTTAAGAGAGCCAGAAGAGGGTCAAGAAGGGGTTCCCTTTTAAGGGTCCCCCTTATCCCACCTAGGAGGTACCCTCGGTTCAGGGTCTTCAAGCCCCAAAAGCACGATGACTAGGCCCTGATGAAGAGGTACTTGGGCACAGGGGGCTCAGGCAAGGTGTTTAGCCGTGTATTTCACAGCTGCCTGCCGAAAGCGGCAATCAAGTCCTAGACAATGGGACTCTGTGCCACCTCCCAAGGAGTCGGGGATACAAACGCTGGTTCTTGAATTCTTGAGGCTGTGGGTTTCGAGCTTCGGTTGCAGGGTTCCTAAAGCTCGTGCATACGGGCGAGCACGCACGCACGCTCTCGTGCACCGTACGC